TCTCCTGCAGCAGTTTTTAATACTTTCCCCACAAGTGAAGTTAAACTAACTGGCCTGTAATTTCCTGGTGTGTCCCTGAGCTCTATGAAATAACGGCATTAGGTTGGCTACCTTCCAACTCTTCCTGAATTTTGTTTTGTTTTGTTTTAAAAAGCAGGATTGAAAAGGCCAGAGAATGCTTCCTGTCTCCCTTTCCCTTCATTTCTTCCATGACATACTGCTCCTTCTGGTCCCAGTAGATCTGCCATTTTAATAACTTTAAACCTCTTAAATGTTTTCACATATTATTTGTTCCTATCTCTGAAGTATGAGTTTCCCATTTTTCATTTTGACAAGGGCCACCCCCCAAAATAAGGGCTTATAATTTTATCGAACAGACTGTTAATTTGAGGCACTGTTTAAGAATTAAGTTTTATATTAGGAATCTGGAAAAGGGTGGCAACCAGATTGTAATCGATTATGTGTTCTTGTGAGTTATTATGAATATATGTTTGGGAAAGAGCTGAGAAATAGGTCTACACACCCATGGAGAGGAACCAAACATGGGATTATTATTACTAATCCAATGTACTAGCAAAGTATCTTCAAAATGTGGTGAGACTCATTGGATCTGACCATGTAAAATTTGCACCCTATATATTTTTTAACTGCATTTGGTTCATTATTCTCAAATCTAACAAAAGAAAACTCTTTCACACTTAATGATCTCCCAATAGAAAGACCCATAGAAATGTTCTAATTAAAATATATCAGTTAAAAACTAAGGTTTTATTTTTTTACTGATAGGCCTAAAGAGGAAAATTAATTATTATTTGCATTTGTAAAATTGCATTATATCACATAATCTTTAGGACTGTCCAAGCCCTTTGTTATACAGAATTGACTATTTTTTTTAAAGTAAGTGAGCCACCAACTAGGGCATAAAAACCTTTATTTTTATAGACCATTTTTGTTTCAGCAGGCTTTTGGTTTTTTGTTTCTGTGGTGACCTAATTTGTCTTTTCAGAATAAGTCACAGACAGGCACGCAGACCACAGCCCAAGTGTGGATGGAGGCTTTCCAGGTTGAAAGGTGCAATGATCCCCATCACGCAATGGAAGAAACCGTGGCCTAGAATCTAAAACTTTTAAGAAAGTTGACTTTGATTTCAAAGACATGGGATAAGTAAATCCCTGCCCAGTTGGGAGTTTTTTTTCTTCTAATTTATCAAAACCACAATGTCAAAGTCCAAAGTCTGTGCATCTCTCTTGTAATGCTCATTCACTATGTATCAGGTTTAATCACAAGCGGGGGAATCTGTGCGTGTGTAGTTCGCCCAGACATGTCTCATAGGGCACTTTTCAGTTGGCCTTGAATGATTGTTAATATTCTCTTTTTCATTTTTGCTCAGGAATGAGTATACCTGTAAGTGAACAGGTCAGGTTCTCTATGTGGGCCATAAAACACACACAGACAGACAAATATTTGTGAATACTTAGCAAATTAAGTTCCAGGCATGAATCTTAAAGCATGGATTTTTCCCAGTGTTTGAAATGTTTTCTCATAGATTCCCATCTTTAGGATTTTAAAGTTATAATTAAAATAGGCACGGGATTTACCTTTCCTATTTCCTAGTTAATATATATCGTACCATGTAACTCCAAGTTTAGTACGTATTCATCAGCCTTCTCCCACTCCTCTGTCTTCGCTTCAGTTGTTCCCTTTTCTTAGAATGCCCTCTTCCACATTCAGATGTCAAGCCCTCCCCATCCACGGGCCAACAGCTCTGAGCCCAGTGATAGAGTATTGGGTTTGGGAAAGTGGAAAACCTTAGGGCGATGTATTTAACGATCGCTAAACCCAAGTTCTTCGATTTTCTAATTAGTAGACTTTCTTCTTTCTCCTTGCTTCCATTTCCCTATATGTAAAATGAGGATATTTATATATCCTTTTAGAATTGTGATATAGGTCAATCGGGATAATATATCTAAAAGGACCCCCTTCCTTACCCTCCAAATAGCACCTTCTCCATGAAGCTCTCCCCACCCTGGCTAACAGCAATCTCACCTTCCTTGGAAAGCCATAGTCGCTGACTATCTTCTGCACTGGGCTATCCACTCATTTAACAAACACTTGCTGAATACCTACTGTGTGTCATGCTTATATTTTTTCCTTTTATTTCTTCTTAACTAGTCTGTAAGCTTCTTGAGGTTAGAGTCTCTATAATACTCATATCCCCCCTCCATTATCCAGGTAGTGTTTGACACTAGTGCTTGAACAATAATATATTTGTTTTGTATTTGGTATAATACTACTATTGGGTAAAACTGGTCACTATCTAATAGTACAGGCAATATCTGTATCCATTTTCATATGTGCCCACATCCTCAAAAGGGGTTACATGCTAGAAGTTGTACTTATGTGTGATGCCAGTGCATGAGATCATCTTCATTACTAAATAATAATTATATAATAAAGAAATAGCTAACATTTCTCAGACTAAAGAAGATAATTCTCTACCTGTTCCCACAGGAGTCCTTGGAGTAGTTCTTACAAGAGCAAAGCACGATTTCCAAAAAGAGATGAATGAACAAATGGGCTCAGCTATGTATGTCTCTGTGGAATTACATTAGCACAAATCTAAGCAAGTTTTCAAAAAGCTGTGATTTATAAATAAAGACTCTCATATATACAATATCATGGCTAGATGAAATTCTAAAGTTTCAGGGGGAAATTACACAGTTTCAAAAATGACGCAGTGTGTACACAACATCAAGCCATCCAAACGAAACCTGAGCAAATCAGTTAGGAATGTGGTCTTTGCTGGCCCGGACATTTCCAGGCGTTATTGGAAATATGTAATGTGGTTCTGACACTATTTTACTACCTGTGGATGAACTGCACCATAATGAAGCGTCACTTTAATTTGCTACTCCTCCTAATTGACCGCAGGCTAGGAAACCAGAAAGCCAAACTGGTTAGAGCTGTGTTTAAAATAAGAACAACTAGGCTCTGATTTAAGGCTAATGAGAGTGTCCTGCAAATAGAGTGAATGCAAGTGCAGGGTTTTATAGTATCTGTATCTCTCTCCAAAATGCAGGTCTAAAAGGAAACAATGCTATGAATTTCCCATGTCACATAAGCCACTTTGTTAGAGTAGCTTTTCTTTCCCATTGCAGCTTCCTTTGAGAAAGAAAATGCAAGGCTTCCTAACCAGGCTCCTGAGGAGTTCACCTGTGGCACATGTACCAGATGCAACGGACCATGCACGACTTTCAGCAGAAAGAGACTCACAAGCAGACTGTCCGCATGCCTTGAAAGTCCAGAGATTTCAGGAAAGTTTAGGCTCTGGGCTTCTTTCATGATCACCACTCACAACTACCTCGGGCTGTCCGTGGCATTGCCCACAGCTTTTCAATGCACTTGAGATGAGGCACCAGGCGACAGAGTCCTCACCAGGTCCTAAGTGTGGAGGAACTGAGAGTGGAAATGGGCCTGTCTTCTCCAGATGTGCATCCTGTCCTTGGCTGAAGTGACAGAGCCTGAATTTGGTTTTTGTTCTTTACCCATTTTTGCTGTGGTGATTGATATTAATGCGTGTCTGTTGCACCCAAGCTCCAATCTCTGTGGTGCTGCTCATCCTGCGTCCCTTTTCTTCTGCAACCATTCAAAGATGGGTGTGTGAGAGGGTTGGGAGGCTCACTGCCCAGAAGCTCCACCGAAGGGGGTGGTGGAGCCAGCTGTGAAGTGGACCTCCCCTGAGCGAAGGGTGCACAACCAAGAATCACGGCACACTGGAGAGAAAGGCATTTTAACCGAACCCTGGATTTGTAACACTGTGCTACCCCACAGCCAAGTCAAAATGCCTGTCCAGATTATTGTTATTGTCTCTGATTTTTACTGAGCATTTCTGAAGAAGGAAGGTCCTTTGGGGGGCTGATCGATCCCAGGCCTGAGAATTGGACATGGGTTTCTATCGCTACTTCAGAAGAAAACTTCCAATCATTTAAACCCAGGTATCACCTAATGCTCCAGCTAGAGCACACACACTCAGAACATCATAACAAACATAGTAGGTATGTTATTTAACTCTAACTGCACAGAAGAAGTCTCCCATGATAGTGTAGCAAGAGTCAATGCTATAAAATCCACAGTATTGTCAAGCGTAAATAAATCCAATGAAACTTGTTCAGATAGCACTCAGGCTATGCTAAGAGGCCATTATGAAATCATCCAAGACCCGCAACACATAAAAACTTTACTAGTCATTACCAAAATAAACTGCAAACAAGTTTGTCTTATAAAGATCCAAAAATCCTTATGTTTTTTTTTGGTCTGCAGAGCCATAAAACAGTGCCTGACAAATTTTAAGCAATAGTCTAATTAATCACTGGATTTTTATAGTTTCATGTGAGCTGTAAGCTAGATATTAACAAGGCAGGGTGAGAGGAAATTCTGCACTGAGCGAGTTCTAAGTCCTCTGCACAGAACCACAGGTCAGCCAAGCCAGGTCTTGGTGTTAAGCACTTGCTAGAAATGGAATGGACCGTTAATCAGAAGGTTATTGTCATTTTCACATGGATTAAAGTAGAACGTAGAATGTGCACAACGTTCACAAGCTGATAGAAAATCATTCCAGGTGGCTCTGTCTTGTCCAGGAAACATTTTCTTGGGGGGGCATTTTTACATTATTTCTTTGGTGAAACTAATATTTTTTAACACTAATAATATGACCCCCTTTAATACTATCATATACTCAATAATTACCATGAAAAAGTATGACCATATAAAATTTCTGCTTTATGTTCTTCAGTTGGACATAGTGATGGTGCAGACAACATAGGACAATTTTATTCCTGGAGAGGAATTTTTTTAAGCACCCATCACCAGAACCAAACAGCTCCAATGAGAAATTGGAATTTGCTTTCAAAGAATGAATTAAATTTTTAAAAAGTGACCAAAAGATTATTTCAATTCTTATTTTTGCAACAAAAGTCCCTTCAACACCCACGTCCACCTACCTCATAGTATAAGGGAACGCCGCTGCTCATGCTCACGTGTTGCTTTGCCTTTTTAGGTGCGTTTCCAAATAATGCATTTGCTTCATTGACCTGTAAGGAAATTAAATCCATCTACGATGAGAAAGAGAGGCATACATAAAGAACACCTAGATATATGTGACTTTTAAATACCTAGGTGACTTGAGGGGTTGGGAACCTCTCGAGGAGGAGCTACTCATTGACAAGGTGAAGTACTTATAGTCACTGTGGCCAGCGCTCAGCGACTGTCCCAGTCTGTGCCATCTGACAGGACTCAGCTATGCCATCGGGCCCCTCCGACCTCTGACAGCTATGAGTCTCTATAGATGTCACCTTCCTCTTTACACTTCTCTGGAACATTAAATAGTTTCATTTTTTATTTTATTGCATCTTTCATTAAATAATTCCTTATAGAACCTAGCATGGAGCCTGGTATGGCCTCAGAAATTTTTGGTGAATGAATGAAAGTTGAATGAGCAACATTCACGGACAAAAAAGAATTCTTTCAGATTAAATGATTCAAATTATTCTAGCTAAGTGTTTAAAATAATCTGCCAAAAGTTACCAAATAGCCCGAGAATATGATAGTTCTATTTATCTTATTAATTTACCCTACTATTTTAAGAAAAAACCTCTTCAGGGGCTTGGGAGTGGGGACAGGTACCTGCTGGAGAATGTCGTGCCATGACACTATGCTGAAGAGCCTGCGCTGAGGGACCTGGACGGCGAGGGTGAGCGCTCGGATCAGAAGATCGTCCTCAATCTGGTTTCCAACAACAAAAGCGATGGAGCCCTTCCAGTCGTTCTGTTACAAACCCAGAAGGAATTAGACCCTCAGTACTCCTGGCTAGGTAATCGTGGGTCAGGGCTTCAACTGGAAAACAGAATACTTTCCCCGTAAACCTTGCCTTGAGCACAGAGTTGACCTTGTGTGTAGCCTGTCTATGTGGGTTCCTGACTCAAGTAGCCGCCAGGCGGCAGTATTGTGCCAAATTTCATGCAGCTTGACCAAAAAGCAATTTTCTTGAGAAAAGTAGGCCTTTTATTTTAAGGAAGACAATTTTTAAAAACGACACACTTTCACTAGAATGCTATCCAAGAATAATTTGGTGTTGGAAAGCTATAGTTCATTCATGTGTTACAAAATATACATTAAGATAACGGCAAATGCCAAAAACTTTGTCTTGTTCCCTGATACATCCTAAGATTCTAAATAGTGCCAGGAACATAGTAGGAGCTCCAAAAATATTTGTTGAATGTCGCATGATATTGAACTGGTTGCCAAATGGGCTTTTATATGAGGTAAAAATACAACCTCTGACTTTTTTGTAAAACACAGAACTAGAACACATCTTTTCCTCCTGATGTAACACGAGAATCTCACTGTTAATTCACAAACGAGTTCTTCCCACTCCCCCAAAGCAGGCTAAAATATTAAACTGGGACATGAAATTTTGCGTGAAATGATTGAAAGAAATGTTACTAAAGACAATTTTCTTATTCAGTAATCCCCTACTCTCTATTATAATTACAATTTCCGTTGGGGAGAAGCAGTTCTCTGGAGGAGATTAAGAAAGGAATTTCCTGAATCACCTGAGGGAGGAACCAACATGGGAATCAGGCCTAGAGCTTCTGAACTCTAACCGTGGGGAGATGGGCCAAGCAAACAGGATAAGGCATCAGGAAAGAGAGAACCACAAGGGGGGCACTCTAGCCTCAGCTCTCGAGGCCTTAGTTTCCTCACTTGTACAATGAAGGGTTTGGACTGGGCAATATTCGCTTCCCTTTAGCTCCACTCTAGACATTTGATTCAAACACAGTCTAACTCCCCCTTGGTGGATTCCAAAACAATGTCTAAGTGATCTGAAAAAGTTTTACACAAATCTAATGAAATGCATAATTTATGTGGTTCTCTCTGGCTTCTGTCCACTGTATTATCAGAGTAATGACAGAGCTAGGGTATAGGTAGAAGATCTTAGTGCAAATCCTTCCTAACCATCAGAAAGTTACTATCACTAAACTCTCTTACTTTTCTCCATGGAAACTGCCTAACAACCTAACAAAACCCAACCAATTTTCAAAGCTACCACTAAAATAAAAACCACACATAAAGACACACAAATGTATATTTACCTACAAAGAGCAATACCTTGAATTTCCTGTCAGTCACACTGTCCAACACTAGAGATTTTAATGACCACTACTATCCCTGACCCCTCTCCCTACTGCACATTTCCTTGCCAATATTTGAAAGTCAGTGGTGACAAGGAAGGGCTGCCTCTAGGCTCTTTTGGAGACAATTCAGGAAAGGGCATTATAGTTCAGCATCTGCCCTCGGTATCTGGTGTTAAAGGCAGGTGTTCACTATTTCAGACCAGAAAAAAGAAGGGAGGGGGAAGGAACTAACAATTATTGAAAAATGCCATGTGCCAGGCATATGTTATCTCATTAAATCCCCAAGTAATCTCTTTAAATAGGTGCATTAATACTTTATAGATGGAAAAATAGAGGCCCTACGAAGTGAAAAATCTTGTTAAAGGTCATTTTGGCAAAAACCGCATGGAGACCACATACTGGCTTGCAGTTTTGTGATCATTTCAGAACAATTTTGAAAGGAAGCCTTTGGGGTCAGAATGCCTTCCCATAATCCTCAAATTGCACCTAATGGCTACTTCAGCCACAGCAACCTAATAGATGAAGATTTATATCACATACCAAAGAACATAAAACCTTTAAAAATAGATTATGTATGAAATCCTTAAAACACCATAAGATTGCTTTTTTATAAATGACAGTTTTACAGAGATTCTAAGAGGTTAAGGAAATTTCCCAAGGTTCCTTCTTTCAAAGCCCCGTGGTCTTGTTGCTTTGCTCTAGAACACACTTGAACACAAGGCCTGCTTCTCTGATTCGTGGTGCTGGACTGAAACTTCTGGGATCCTGCGATCACCTTAAGGCAGCTCACCTGGGCTAGAGCAGGCCTAGTTTGTTGAGGTTCAGAGCTCCCTCTGAGCCCTGCTGGGGAACTAGGCCACATCTTTCCAGTGGAAGGGATCTGAAGAGTCTGCTGAGGCTCAGTTTCCCATCTGCACTCTCTAGTCCACCAAACTCCTGCTTCAGAAGTCAGGTCTATTTGGCAAAACGGGACCCCTGGAGGGCTTTGTTGGAGTCCTGAATTAGTGTCTAACCACATAGCCAGAATGGACCGACTGACCAGACAGACATGATGCAAACCCATAGTCTGCAGAGAAGGGTGCACTCCCTGGCGAGCTGCACTAGGGGGCAGCGAGACGCCAGGAAAAGTGCAGCATTCGAATAATGGGTGAGTTGTTTCCTGTGTCTAATTAAATGATGCTCTGCAAATATAATCTCCAAATCTTTCTCTTAGTAGTTTAGGATAAATGTAGACTCCAAATCTCTACTAACTGGAAGGAGTTTTAGAAATAAGAAAAAATTTGGGAAAAATCGAACACAAAGTAGATTTGGCAAAACACTATTAAAAACACCCCTCCACTCGTATGCCACCTGCACGCAGTTAAACCAAGTCCTTACACCTGAGTTCACCGGGCAACAAGAGGCATTTAGAACAGAAAAAAACCAAGGCCAGCCGTGGGGGAGAAAGGAAAGCGGGGTGTGGACAACCTGATTCATCACACCGAGTCCCGCAGTGCTCCTGCCTTTGGGTGAATTTGTTTAAGAAAGTTCAGGAAGGTTGGGTGTAATTAGTAGCATAAGCCCAGAGAAAGAAAACATTAATCATTTTAGGAAAACTACCCTGGATGTATCCAGGGGTGAAGGAAGAGGGTTTTAGTCTGGCACCTCAGACGCCTCAGGAAGCAGAGCCGGCTCTCCGCTGCCAGGAGGCATCTACTGTACATGTTGTTGCTGAGTCTTGCCCTCGAGTAGTTATTGATAAAGTCATTCAAAGGATGGAATGAAGTCATGTATGGACACAATCCATTACCTTTTATTTACTTTACCAGTCTCACCTAATTTGAAGCCTGGCAGGAGGGCGTCTTAACCCAAACACTTACATACTAGTCTCCCAAGGCAAGAAAGTATTCATGTAAATGCAGACAACCTGGCCGTCTCATCTAAGCCTGCTGTCCCACAGACACAGGGGAGATTGATAACTATTTTTCTTCCATAGATTGCAAATTCTCCCAGTTTTATTTAGGCATTCCTATACTGTATTATGATTACAAAGACCCTTTCAAAAGCAAGTGAAAAGTAGCTTTTGGGTGACGGGATAGAGATTGCTTCCTTCTATCAGCACCAGTATCAGCTGGTACGGGGAAGGCAATGGCAGGACAGGGATGCCGTCCTCTGCGCCTTGGCCCTGAAAAGCCTGAGGTGAGAGTCCCATGGTCCTCTACTCAGGGCTGACCTGAGCCTGCTGAGCTGACCGACAGTGGTCAGCACCTTTATTTGGAGAAGGTATATAAAAGCCCCAAGTCAAATCAATGCATTGGAAAAGTCATGTTTAGTTAAGGGTTATTTAACACTGCACAGATACGCAAACCTGTACTTTGTGTCAATACTCTGCTGAAAGGATAGCCTTTTTGTTAAGTAGATTTGCTGCCAAATGGACAGGGATTTGTGAGTGTCTTTCTCATACTGGGTTTTTCCTTCAAAAGGGGTCTTGGATCTCCATCAGCAAAGGAGTGTTAGTATGGGCTGTTGGCCAGCAGAAGAAATATTTTTATTACCTAGAACTGGCTGCTGCTATAATTGCATTTGTTAAAAAGGAATTCTAACTGTAAAGTAAGTTGGAAATACAGGTTAAAAAATGGGTACACATTGTTATATAATAAACAAGAGCAATACAAATGACCAGGATATGCCGTTATTTAACTCCTTTTACTGTCTTTACTAAACAAGTTCTTATTATAGAGTCTTCTCTAATTATAGGTTCATCACAGTTTATTAGAAAGATTAAACACTAGACCCTACTTGTCCATGGGGGATATGTTTCCAAGACTCCCAGTGGATGTCTGAAATTGCACATAGTACCGATCCCTGTGTGCACTGTTTTTTCCTGTGCATACATACCTATGATAAAGTTTAATTCATAAATTAGGGAGAGTAAGACATTACCAACAACAACAATAAAATAGAACAATTATAGCAATATAATAAAAGTTATATGAATGGCTTTGGGGCCATTGTTAAATTAAATAAGGGTGATTGAACACAGGCACCGAGATACTGAGAGAGTCGATGTGAACCTAGACAGCTTCTAAGGGACTCATGGGCAGGTGGTGTCCACAGCATGGTACACGGACAAAGGGCTGGTTTGCGTCCCCGCTGGTACAGAGTGGGACGGCACAAGATCTCATCATGCTACTCAGGACGGCGCACAATTTAGAACTTATGAATTGTTTATTTCTGTAATTTTCTATTTAATATTTCTGGACCATAGTTGACCGTAGGTAACTGAAACCACAGAAAACAAAACTGCTGATAAGGGGAGACCATTGTAGTTTGACATGTTACCATCATGCTGTGATAAGTACTAATTATTTAGGAACTGGTTCACATGCTGTCACATTTTCTTAACTGGATCGTAAGCTCTTTAGGTCAGAAATTATGTTTTATATGCTTTTGCACCTTATGGTGCCCAGTGGTAAATGGAAAACAGAGCAGGGCTCTATCTGTAAAACTGTCTGTTGATCAATATCTAAAAGCAACAGAGAATGTGCTTGGACACTAAGGATTCTGACCCTGGGAATGGTAAAATGCTAAAATGCAGCATGTCAGAAACCTGCGCCGGGTATACAGGCTACAGCCCTGAAGTCCCTCAGG